GCGTTTTGACGAGAACAGCATCACTTTTTTACCATTGAGTATAACCCAAGCACCAGGGATCTGAAATGCCAGCTTACTCCAAACTCTTCAGAATCCAATAATTTCGCACATTCAAGTTCAGGCTAGTACAAAAGCCCAAAAAAGGAGATAGCCTTTACTGTTTTTGTAGCTGGATCGGTTAAAAGATTTTGCATGTTTTGGTGCTTCAGTCAAATAGGAGCCACAGTTTGCAAAGCGCATAACTGTGTCGACTTCAATTGCCCGAGCCCTGCCGTGCAATATTCCCCTCAAAGTCTATTCACCTAGCAGATCAAACAAAACACAACATACTGCATCGTTTCCACGTATAAAATTATGCATTTGAGACTGATTTTTGTTCCAGTCAAGCTGTGCAAGAATTGGCTTCGTTGTTATATGAGGCTCATAAGAAGCTCCTTCTTCTGGCTGCGGTATACGCGGTGCCTTTCCAGCTGCTATGAGTTCCACTGCTTCTACCTAAGACACCAGATTTCAGTTCAACAGTTACGGAGAAGCAAGTGATCACAGACAGAGAAGGCACAGTAGGATCAGTCGTCAATTTCCCCATTTGTCGATGATATGGGCCTCTGAGATTATCTTTCCACTTCAGCGACACTAATGTTTGCTGCTGCAGTATTACTGTGTGACTGCAGATTATTTTTTACAGTACGAAAACTGAATAATGATCTGAATTACCATGGCCTCAATACCGGCTGGATAAAGAAATCGAGTATAAATTGAGGTGACCGTATCGTTTTCTGCAACCTTTGTCGATTTTTGTAGCAGGATTGGCCCTGTGTCCAGGCCGCTATCTGGCCAGAATACTGTAAGGCCAGCATTTTCATCACCACAGATCAGTGTCCAGTTTATTGCCGATGCACCCCTGCAATTTGAATGCAACACTGTATTTAATCTAACAAGATAAACAGGCAGTGAGTGGGCAAGATCAGTGAGTGTGCTTCAGCTGAACTGTAGTGAGCTGTTAGGGTTCGGAAACAGCATAAAGAGGAACTCGGATTCATCGACTCACAGAGGAAGTGGAAAATTTAAGTGACTGTAATTGCCAGTTGGATGATTCCATATTTCTAGCAGCAGAATTCTGTCTATGCTTGCTAATCGTCAGTGCAATGCGAGCGTTGTTTTCAGGAAGAAAAGTCAATTCTATATTCAAGAATAAACATTTTCTCCACCCTTTTCTTACTTAGGAGCAAGTAGTTCAGATTTTTTGCACGAAACCATTGAATAATCAACTTCTCGATGACTACATTTTTCGCTCCATGTCTCACTTTATAAAAGCGTCCCACAAGCACAGTGCAGCTCAGTAAATGATTTTCGGTTACACACATCTGGCTTTTACTTGTTACGGTCATGAAAATTTTGGTTTCCGTCATGAAAACCGGATTTTTCAATTTGGCAGGCTGCTGGTTGTTACAATCTCACAATATAATGACAACACATAAGTTTGAAGAAGTGACCGCAAAAAGCGTGTTTTTTCCCTAAGAAAACAAAGATCAGCTGATCGCATTAGGAGGGACTGAAGCAGTACGACAGCTCCATTAATTCTGCATTAATATTCATCTAACGTAGATGTAGAAACACAAGTAAGATAAGGAGGCACCGATGGGCAGGTAGCAACGACGGATGATAGACGATCGATTTGTACCGCGGCGCATCCGTCACTTCCAACGGAATAAACTGCGAGCAATATGCGAGCACATTAAGTTCTGCATTGTAACGGCGGTATTCATCAAGCACGTCTGCGAGGATTTCAAAGCTTCCATCTGCTAGCTTCTTCCTCCAACTTGGCCTCTTCACCACTTGTACTCCCAGCTTTTTCGCTTCGAGCGCTAAAATTATGTTACACCGCCTTACTTCGAAACCAAAGTAGAATGAATTACTTTTACTTATTTTCGCGAATGTGGTTTGCCATCGGTATGTGTGCCTGATCAACATTAAAAATATGAAAACCAGGAGCCGAGATTTTGAGGACACAGTTCTTGGCTTTACGTGTTACTAAAAACTTGAAGTCAAATTTCAAATTGTGTCGTGCCCTGATTCATGAACTGAGGCTAAAACCGGGTCTAATTTTGCAAATCAGTTACGAAGAATGCAAAAAAGGTACAATTTTGCAATCTAATTTAGCAAGAACTAGTTTTTTCCCAACGAGCCTTCAAGAATCACTGAACGATGGGAAATCGATTTTCAAACCCACTGTTTTCTCTCCCATGGTTGTCTATAGAAATACCAGCTAAGTCTACTATAATAGACCCAAAACCTGTGCCTTTTCATGCACTAAACAAGCAGAGGGATCATCATGCGATGGCTCTGCGAGTAATGGCATGTTTACCCACGGAGCGCATACAGTAGTTTGGCACTGGATGAAAGCATTTCTACAGTCTCGCCGGTCTTTTTACAGTAAGGCAGTTTTCGACTCCCTATTACTAACGGAGGGTGAACCGAACGCATGTCGGCTCTCAGGAACTGTTTTATTTAGTGGTGTCACTGGTACGGAAAGTCTTCATAGAGTTATCCCCATGCTTAACCATACAAAATGGAATACACTTTTCTGTCGCCGTGTTTAGAGTTACCATAGCACCGGTTCCAATCGAAGTTGGATACTGCCTGGGCCGTTGTTTAAGACAGTGTGGAGTCTGGTTTAAGTTATTAGGAGACTGGTGTCGTGAAAAATACAGAACACAAACTGAAAAGTCCGGAAAAGGTAATCACCTATCCTATTGGTCTGTTTGCTTTCCTTTCGCTCCAAACTACATTGAAAACAAAAGGAGGGAAAAGAAAAGCTGGAAAAAAGGATTCTGCTTTATTCATGCCTTGGTCTCATTATGCGTTTTTGCCTATATACAAATTGCAATAAATAGAAACGCGCACCAGACTAGCCAGTGCGGTCATGCGTTTTGTGCAATTCAGCCC